GGACAGCCAAGGACTGTTAGGCAGAGAAAGCTTCTCTAGAAAAACCAGATAAAAAAAAAACAAAAACAAAAACAAAAACAAAAAAAAACCCAAAAACAAAAACAAAAACAAAAACAAAAACAAAAAAACTTGCTATGACACAAAAGGAGAGAGAATTTCTTTATGGTCTGTTCCAAGATAGAAAAACTGGGGGCAGGGTTAGAGTTTGGATTAATTGTTACTCATTGCTGGCTCAAACTATCTGAGAGAAGCAGCTTGAGGGAAGACGGGTTTGCTTACAGGTCAAGGGGATGTGGTCCATTGTGCAGGCAAGGCGTGGAGGCAGGAGGGGTAGGATGCTAGCTAGCCATATTGCATCCGCAGGTAGGAGACAGAGCGCAGATGGGCAGTGGAGTGAGTTAGTAAACAACTTCCTCTAGCAAAGCCTTGTGCCCTAAAGATTTCACAACTTCCCTAATGATGCCACCAAAGGCGGGGATGGGGGGACAGTGTCAAACTCCCCAGCCTATTGGGGAGACTTCACATCCAAACCACTACATTTAGTTAGGACTTTTTTTTTTCTCACATGTGTGGTGCTAAGTCTGAGATGCGCTTGGCATGCTAGGATGCTAACTCAGCACTGTATCGCTGCACTGTATCCTTCGCCTGTGAGGAAAGCTTTGCCCCCCACCCCCCATATCACATCACAGCTTGTTTTACTTTTGAAAAGTGTTGACTCTCTAGGGCACTGCTTCTCAACCTTCCTAATGCTGTGACCCTTTAATACAGTTCCTCATGTTGTGGTGACTCCAACCACTAAATTATTTCATATCTACTTCATAACTAATTTTGCTACTGTTATGAATTGTAATGTAAATATCTGATATGTGACCCCTTTGGGTTTTTTTGTTTTGTTTTGTTTTGTTTTTTGAGACAGGGTTTCTCTGTGGCTTTGGAGCCTATCCTGGCTCTCACTCTTGTAGACCAGGCTGGTTTTGAACTCATAGAGATCCCCCTGCCTCTGCCTTCCGAGCCCTGGGATTAAAGGTGTGCGCCACCAACGCCCAGCTCCCGTTGGGTATTTTTGAAAGCTGTCAGCTAAGATTGTAGGGAAAGTCTGATCTTCCTGTCTCTCCAGCTTTTCACTGGATGGTGGACATTATCTACAGCTGAGGAAAACAGCCGCCCTCAACTCCCCAGAATTAAGGGGCTCTGTGTAAAGTGGGTAATGGGAGAAATTAAGTAAAGCAGCTTTGTTCTGAAAGAGGAGTGTGGGAAACTCTTCACGAGGAACTCGGGTGGAGAGTGCTTGTATTGTGGCTATCAGGCTGGATTAGAATGCTGGTGGAACCCTCACATAACAGGTGGGAGTCACAAAGGACCAGTTTTCATTCATCCTAGCAGGGCAGGCTGCTGCCCCACGAAGTACAGAACTGACCACCAAAGAAGAGCAGGGGAATAGATAACAGATGACCCACAGCCAGGGCCACTTCTTCCCAAATTTACAGCCTGCTCTGAAAATGGTTAGATGACCTTATGCTTCCTGGGTTTGCCAGGATCTTGATAAAAGGTGAAGGAAGTAGCCACACCTGCATTCCTTTGCTCTCCCAGGGTCTCAAAGTTCCCAACCACTTTATTTCACAGCTCTGTAGCTCAGTGACCTTGACACTGATAAAATCCAATGGGTGCAAAAGAACCTGTAGGTGGGAAGTAACAGTTGCAAATTGACGATAAAGACAGCAATCTGTCAGAGCTGGCTTCTGAACCCGCTATCAGGGTTGTTGAGGAAATTACCCTCTTTGCATATGTTTTGTTACATTCCACTTAAGGTAAATTCATCTGCCAACTGTTAAATTATAGTCATTAGATCCTAATGGTTCTCTATCATGGCATTTTTCTCTTTCCAGATAACACAGCTGATGAAACACAGACAACAGATAAGAGAGGTAAATGAGAGTTTGGTCCTTTGGGAGCTAAAAAGAAAGTTTACTCTGAACCTAATT